GGACCTGAAAATAATCTTGAGATATTTTTTCACTTAGCTGTCCTGTGGAGTCTCGCAGCTATCATATCGTGCGACATTGAACACGTATGTTCAATCTCGGATCGTTTCATCACAATTTTGGGCAACTTGGGTTCGAGTTAGTGTAGTGGCCGTGCGGCATAATGAAAAGCTGCGCGTCGCGCAACGTCAAACATCAATGTTGACCGCACACTTTTCTCCTTAGGGATGGAGTACAAGGTTCAAACACTCATCGCCCTTCAAGTCTTAGCTGCAATTCCGGTCCGCCGGGTTGCGCGCGACGTGGTGATAACTGCGCGCGTGCGAAAACATACAGCATGATAAGCAAATTGTGATATCGAGGGATGCAGTATACTGTGCCGCAACTATTACGATTGCTCTTTCCAATTAACCACCTCCGAACCTTCATTACCAATGACATCACAACGGCGTTTCACTACTTCAACCACTTTCTCTGCTACACCTTGCTTACCCGAGTGAATATTATTAAAATGTGCCAGTAGGTCAGAAAGGGAGATAGGATCTTTTCCGACATTCGACAGGATTTGTAAGATGGCGTCTTCACTTGGCAGAGCGAATTTCATCGGATTTTGCTTGCCATTCGTAAGAAAGTCCGGCGGTGTCAAAGTAGGCACGGCGCGGAGATAATCAGAATCTTCCTCAAAAAATCGCTTCACTATCGCATCTGAGACGTTGTTGAGCTGATCAGGAGACCACGCAGGCCGAGCTTTCGTTTTGTCAACCAGGACCGCGGTCACTCCTGCAGTGAAATCTGGACTCGCGCCGCTCTGCATTTTCAAAGTTAAACAGATTACATAGCATGATCACCAATTAACTTACACAGTAAGCAGTGGCAATACCCATTTCCATTTGGAGGGCCTGGAGGAGCGTCATTTCCTTCCCGCGTCGGACCGCCTCTAGTGCCACTTTGAGACTAGTAGGACTCCGGATATGTAATGTCTCCAGTGTTTCCGAGGCCCACTTAGCGACTGAGTCATCCGAAGTCGAGGCTAACTTAGTGAGATCCTCCATAATCTCCTCAACTGTATCATGTCGGAATGCCGTATCAAGAGCTTGGCGCGTGCGACCCGTTAATTTTCCAACCGGTTCGTCTTGGAGCCGTTTAGTATGATGACCTTCGATGGTCCTATCGATCATAGCGGAAGTGGGGTCCTCCAAATCAGATAGATGAGTCAATAAGTTGGGCACTGTCCTTGATGACACAAAGTGGGTAGCAAATCCTAATTCACTACCGAAATCGTAAGCCCGCGGCCCCACCGAGAAAAGATATGTCACCACTCACAAGACTTCTCTGCCAACAAGAGTTTCTGAGGTAAGGGCGAGATATGTGCCAATTTCACCGTCGATCCTGGACAAGAAGAAGCTTGCTCCAACATCAGGGCAGTAACCTATCTTAGTTTCTGGCATAGCGAATTTTGTCTTCTCCGTTGCAACACGAAAAGGAGCGCTGATGGCAAGTCCGACCCCCCCGCCCACTGCTGATGTCAGTGCTATGCATGCTGTACAGAGGAAAACACCAACTTGTGATACCGTCCAAGATGGTTACGTATGGCTTTGGTAACGCAGACAAGATATAGTTCATTTCAAATCTGTAGGATAAGTTATTCAAGCGCTTCGGAGCATGATTCTATGACTCACTCGTCTTTGAAGAATTCTATAGCCTTTGAACGAGTAGCGTCATGCAGTGAATGCTGTAGTACAGCTGTGCGAAGTTGTCAGCAAGTATCCACGTGGATTTGAGCACTGAAACACACTTGCAATATCACCGCCCGCACAAAATGCACGGCCAATACCCGTCCCGACGACAATCTTGCACAGGTCGGATTTTGACCATTGCTGGAATACAAAGGATGTTTGTAAGAGCCTGCACTTCCACGTAATGGCATTCTCACCTCCAGTTGAGGTCTCATCGACTTGAGCATGTCACCATTGAGAGCGTTCAGTTTGCTTGCTCGGTTCAAAACATAAGTGCGTGTCGCTCCATTCGACTCGAAGAGCACCGGCTGCATGCGAGGCCCGATTCACAAGGGATTGGTAAGAATAACATATGCAAAGAACTTACCTGCTCTAGTGGTGTTGCCTGAGTGCTGGTGGACATGTGAGCAACCACTGCACTTGTCCTGGCAAGAGCTGCTGATACACCGTTACGCGACATTCTTGTGAGAGCAGTAGCCAGCATACTCAGAACTAACCAAGTGTTCAACTAAAGGAAACTCTTGGAGAGCCTGCGACCCACGACTTTTCTGGGATTTTCGGAGTACCGTGTAGCCGAAGACTGGCAGATTGAACCCAAGGCGATGCTTACGTGAGATTGACACAATCGTTCAAGCTGCTGTATGATGATGTGACTCGGAAGCACTTTCCACTCGGACCACTTTGACCGATGTATCATGTGCTTGCTGCGATAGGGTCAAGAATATACCTTCCATCAGGTTATTTCGGCACTGTCAAGTACTTTGGACCAATCGATGGCACCACTGGTCTTTGGCTTGGTGTCGAATGGGACGACTCAACTCGCGGCAAACATGATGGCATAAAAGATGGGAAACGATATTTTAACTGCCGGTAAGATCAAGGAAATCGCAACGATGCTTATCGCTCAGCGATCACAAGAGTGCCACACAGCGGATCCTTCATACGCCCTTCTTCCGCTTGCTATGGGTATCCATTTTTGCAAGCATTGAAAAATAAGTATGTAGAAGCTGTGCATGGCACTGCGTCCCAGGAGAAGATTGTTTTGGGCTCTTCAAATGGTGCTATAGAGGTCGAGGCTGTAGACTTGGACAAGATCCGAGGCAAATTTTCAAATCTGGAGCGACTGCGCGAAGTCAGCCTCGACAATGAGATGGTTTCTACCGGGAATAACCCAGGGGAAATCCTGTCAACATGCCCCAGTAAGCTAGTGCGTATTTCTTCAAATATCATGCGATTGATACGATCAAGACGTCCGCGGCCTGGATCTTTCTGCAACACTTGTGTCCAGTTGGGACGTTGTGGCGATGATAACCACCGAACTGCATCAACTCGAGCGGCTAGCGCTCAAGTAGGCCTTGTGTTTTCCTCTTTTGATATACTAACGCTACAAATAGTCGCAACCGGCTGACGCCGCCCTCATCTCACTTGCCTGCATCGGCTTGGCTGCGACTCTCAGAGCTCCAGCTGAACGGCACCTGGATTTCATGGGAAGAATTTACAAGCATAGCGATACTCATGCCTCAACTTCGCATGGTGGAACTTGGATACAATGGGCTTACTTCCCTATCACATGCGAAGATCTCTACAGTGCTTGGCCATATCGAGATCCTCAATTTCGATAGTAACAAGCTAGAAGATTGGCAACATATCAGCGAGGCAATGAAGCCGTGTACCTCGTATGTTTAGTGTTTGCGGGGTTTCCAATAAGCTAATGCGGTACCGCAGATTACAACGACTCATACTTTCATCTAATGGCATTGAAAGGATCCCTCCTCGGGAATCTCATCCGTCACATTTACAAGGACTCAAAGTCCTCTCTCTTTCCAGTAACAAACTCCATAATTCGTGTGATATTGACCAATTATATGAGTGGTGTCCCAATCTCGAAACGTTGAGCCTTGCCAAAAATCCACTGTCTGAGGGTTAGCGCAAGATTATGGTCTTCCTTGAGGAAACACATACTCATAGTTTGCAGTTAGTGACGTCTCTCGTTCTGCCAGGCAGCAAGTCATAGCAAAGATCCCGTCCTTACTGGTCCTTGACGCAACTGCGGTGAGTACAAGACCGAAGCTGCGGTGCCTAGACTTTAATTTCCTTTGTCATCAAGATCTCGACGAAGGAGCGATCAGATAGTGAATTGTTTTATCTTTCTTTCGTTGCGAAGACCGTGCCTGGGCATGATGAAGACAAACTGAAGGAACACCCGCAATGGAAGACGCTGTGCATGAGTCAGTGTCTTGGCTCTGCTGAGTCATTATTGTATTCATCAAGCCTTTTGCTATGCACCACAGAGCACGGAAGACCTGCCGAGTCAACAGCTGATCGCGACGGTAGACTCGGTCGGTATTTGATCGGTAGGCCCTTGTTGGATGATCGCGTCACCGCCTTTTGAACTATACCCACAGAGGTGAAAGTTCACCAATGCTCTGAGCCTCCTGAAGGCCTCTTCACCCCGGGAATGCAAGGGGGTTTCATTGTATCGACTTCACTGCGCGTGCTTTCTACGATGAAATTAGGGCTTTTCCGGCTCAGACTGGTGAAAGCTCTGGGAGCGGGGAAAATCCCAAGGAACCGCCATAATATTTGTGTATGGTTAAGAATGGGTGATGACACACTAGCTCTTCTTCAAAACGATGATCAAGAATTAGGATGGTGGGGAATAGAGAATAATTCACATATTGTTGTACACATATCGCGGCAAACCGAACCTTGATTACACTTATATTTATACATAGATGTCCCTAGGAATAGATGTGAGTAAAGTGACACACCTGAAGACGAAAGTCTGCCATATGCAAAACGTCAATCATCGTGCGCTGAAGTGTCACAAATGAAGGACACAATCACATTGGTGGGCAAATTCAGGATGGACGGTCCTAGGTACCGAGGGTAGTAGGCACACCAAAAGTCTTTTTTTAATTCCGTCACCGTTTCCAAGTTTCCGTGGTTCAACGCCACCAATACGAAAGATGACGCCCACGTTAAATTCTCACGCGCTGCCTTGGACATCCTTCAGCCAATCCTTCAGCTGATGCTTGAAAGTACAGGTTCCACGCCAAATTCGGGACGCCTTCACCTAATCGTTCGACATACGGACCAAGAGGGAAATGACCTCTGTAAGACAAAAAAACAGTTCTCCGGTTCGACCCAACATACGCCAACGCCAAGCTCGAGGAGACCATGACCATCATAAGAGAGTGGAAAACCAATAACGGATGCGGTGCCCCTCGGCCAAGTGCAAAATATCCAGCGGCTGCCTATATCCTTTAACGCGCCCATCCACCATCGCCATTTGCGTGCCTCATCGCTCTGTCGTCGTACCGATCGTCTTTTTCGTCGCGTCTGCCACTGCGGTCTTCACGTCGCCGGTCATCGTCCCTGCGGCGGTCATAATAATAATCAGGGGCTCTGCGGTCATCATCATAACCTCCCCGTCGGTAATCATCGTACCCTGCAGGTTTTCTCTCATCAAGATCCCTCCGCGGCGGAGGTGGAGACCTGGGGCGACGATCGTCATGATCATTGCGACGAGGAGGCGAGCGAGATCGCTCGCGGCGATAAGATGCACGATCATCCCTGTAGTAACGTTCTTCTTTGTATCGGTCGTCACCTCGAGGACGTTCCTCACGACGATCCTCGCGCCTGTAGTTATCAGGTCCACCGCGCTGAGAGAACAGGTAAGGCACAGCGCAAAACAACCAAGCCATCAAACTCACGGCATCATCGTAGGCAACGCGGACAGGTCTACCGCGCAGGTCTTTACCGTCTAAATCCTTGACGGCACGGTCTGCGTCATCTCGCGATAGATACTCAAGGATACTAAGAGACTGTCAGCTCAAGACAACACATTAAATTTGAGTCACCCACCCCTGGCCAGGGTTGTCGCGATCAATGTCAGCGAACGACACGCTTCCCGCCTCGCGTCCGAAATCTTTCAAGTCCTGGGTGAGTGTATGGTCAGGTTCGACGTTGGGTTTGGACAAATCCGGCGAAAGTGAACATCAACGAAATACTGGTGGTCCTTCCAGGTTCCAAAATGACCAGACGGATCGATCTCCAGAATACAGAAGCGCCATATGCTCCGCAAACACTGCCAATGTTGCGAACCGAAAGAACATCATACCTGCCAGCTTGTGTCACGAGAAATACCGGAAACGATCAGGCGGATACCTGGAGGCCTGCGGGAGCGAGCAGCCCTAAAAAAATGTAACTTGTTAGGAAAAAGGCACAGCATTAACTTGGTGAGTCAAAAAATATACCCGTAGCCACGGTCGCTCTCATAGACATCCCGACGGGGGCGACTTTCTTTGGCGAATTCCACGACAATGCTAAAACAAGAAAAATAAGGATGGATGCAAGCGATGTTGGAGTTGATTAAGATACGAACTTGGCTCCCATGAATGGCTTGCCGTTGAAATGATGTACAGCGTCCTCCGCATCCTATAAAAGTTTGGTATACTGATCACCGTGATACATGGTGGATCCACCTTTGAGCTTTCAAACTCGACAAAACCGAATCCTGATGGAGGTCCAGTGAGTTCCGCATTTGCCGCGCGCCTCTTGTCCGACGAACCGGTCATGACACGACAGTCAATGATACGGCCATAGCCATCGAAAAACTTAGCCACGTCATCAGAGCGGGCATCAGGGGGAAGTCCTGTGCGATGCAAACGATGATCAGAATTGTTTATGCCAAGATCTGAGAAGAAGAAAATTTCATACTGCCAAGGTACAAGCGTCTTGCCATGGTGGTTGAAAGTGAAAGAGTACAGTTATGGCGGAGATTCAACTCGCCATTATATTCGGTTGTTTGCCAAGAATTAGCACCGTTGACAAGACCTCGGATACCGCCAATAATATCCTTAGAAAGTTCTTCATATCGTTGTACATAAAGTTATAGGCAAATAATCCTCAAATACGTCAACGACAGGTAAAGAAAAACGTTGCGCCGTGATAACAGATCCAGAAGTATAAATTAATGTTGAGACCAGTTAATTGAGTTGATGTCGATGCCCTCCTGCACCATCTCCCACAACGGGCTGAAGGAGGCGGTCAGCACAGCAAAAGCACTGAAATGTGGGTGAGATCGTACCTCATATCACGAAGTCTGGTAACGACGCGAACGATGTGATTTACCACGAAATCAATTTCCGCTTCCGTGGTGAAACGACCGATGCCAAAGCGTAAGGACGAATGTGCCATATCTTCTGCCGCTCCTAGGTGACTGTCAGGTACTACAAGTCCACGCATGAAAAAAAACATACCAAGAGCACGAAGAACGTATGAAGGTTCTAGAGACGCGGATGTACAAGCACTACCAGAAGACAAAGCGATATCCTGCAACGAACACCATGATAATTTCTCTCGTCAGATATGTGCCACTACGCTTACCTTCAAGGCCATGAGAAGACTTTCGCCTTCAACATACGAAAACGAAAGGTTTACACATCCCGGGTATCCATTGACATCACCATTTCGAACCACATGCTCAACTTGGGAATTGATGCCCTGAATTAACCTATCCGACAACTGCTTGATCCGTGCGTGATCCCTCTGGAATATGTATCAGATTCGGAACGAGAGGTGGAATGATAAACAGGAACTTGATCAGTACCCCTGCACAGGAATCATCACCAAGCTAGCGGCTCATACGGCCGTAAGCCTGGAGCATCACGCCACTTGATTCAAGTGCCACTTCAAACGCATGTGCGGATTTCATCATGAGTTATGCGAAGAACAAGAAACTCACTGCCATCTCTAGCTTGGCTATGCGTGCTGCTTCGCCCATGCCAACCGCCAGCGCCGTGGGCAGGGTACCGCTACGCAGCCCACGCTCTTGTCCTCCTCCACTCAAGATCGGTTCCAATCGCACGCGCGGTCGCCGGCGGACATAAGCAGCTCCTACTCCCTTTGGACCATAGATTTTATGCCCTGAAATGCTCATCAGGTCAATGTTGGCTTCATTAACATCGATAGGTATTTTTCCCACGGCTTGCGCCGCGTCGGTGTGAAGGTGTACGCCACGATGCTTTCGCACAATAGCACCAATTTCCTTCATTGGCTGGATGACACCGGTCTCGTTGTTTACTGTCATGATAGAAACGAGGGAAGTGTCGGGGCGGATGGCAGCCTCAAGAGTCTCGAGGTTGACTACGCCATTAGATTCGACAGGAAGATAGGTTATTTCAAAGCCTTCTTCGCTGATTTTCCTGCAAGAATCCAGGACACACTTGTGCTCCTGCAGTGACGATCAGCGTTGATCATAGAACCAAGCGGCTCAGCCCACCGTTTGTGTCGTGATAACGTGTCTTTTCTTGTCTTTATTGAACCGTGCGACACCCTTAATGGCCATGTTGTTGGTCTCGGTAGCACCAGAAGTGAAGACGATGTCCTTGGCCTCGGCTCCAACAAGGTCCGCTACATGCTGGAAGATGTTACAGGGACGTTTTTACGCACGTAAACCCAGCAGACTTACCTTGCGTGCAACCTCAATAGCCTGCTCTGCTTCCCATCCATATGCATGAGTTCGACTATGTGGATTACCGTACTGGTCTGTTAGGTACGGTAACATAGCATCGAGAACACGCGGGTCTACGGGAGTGGTGGCCTGGACCTTGTCAATACACCGAATAGTATCTAATTGCATGGCCATACCTGCATATCGAGATATATGGGGCGAGTCTTTTGTGTCACGCTGTTATCACGATTGGGAACCTCGAGCTTGAAATGTATGTCTTCGACGATCCGTGCACGGTCTGCACCAGAGGGTTGTACGAAACCTCTGCGAGCGCAGAGAGCAGCCCGTCCTATGGAGTTTCTGAATGTAGCTTTTCCTATTACATTGGGGGTGACTCTGGACAACATCCTGAGTGCAAACTTCTCTCGTCAATCAGATAGGAGAACCTGAATAGGAAAGAGAACAAGAAGCCAACAAGGAGCTAGTCGTAATGTTTGCTGTTGTGAAAGGCGAAGACCAAGCGAGCACATGAATCGAATTGTCAGCAAGCCTAATGAGGTCACGTGCAAGGGTTTCTTACATAATACGGAGAGTGTGGTGAGACTCAGTGAGTTACATAAAGTTTTTTTAAAGTTTTAACACCACCGCACGGTGACCAATTGGCAACAAGCTACCAAGTCGCTTATATCGAAACTTTCAAGACGACGCCATCAATCATTACGGACCGACGTTTGTCTACAGATTCGGCCTATTACGAGGCAATCTAACAATTAGGCTATGTCTCATGTTCTATCTATACAATATCCGAGACATGCGTTCACCAGTGGGATCGACCGGCGCCCTAAACGACACAATCATCGTGGTGACACGGCTTGACACAGTTAGACGTGCACTTCTCGGCCGGTGACCGCATAATGGCCGTCGCTCATACTCCACTAGGTCACCAGTTCTCGCAGCCTATGTAATTCGTACTGAGCATCTTTTCAAGTTCCATTGTTGGATTCATGCCACAATCCCACGTCTTTGCAAGCGATCTGCGTCTGCCATCCCATGGCTCAATTCTTATCTCTGAAATGTGCATATGGCCATTTCACACTGTCACCGGGCGACCGTTCGCATTCCCCATCAACTGGCTAACATGGATCTTCTCTACCACTGCTGGCACTGCCAGTGACGTTCACGATGCTCCCGATGGGAATGACATTAAACCTACTAGAGGCGACACTTTCACTTGGATGAGATGCGGGTGAACCTTCTCCAGAAAAACTAGCTTGAATAGACTATTCTTAAGAAACTACATGATTGGTTGCCCAGTTGCAAGATGGTTGTCTCTATATCCTTCTGCAAGTGTTACTATTCAAAATTCAGCTCAGGTATTGCTGGAGTTCATAGCCAGAACCTTTTAATTGCGTGACATGGTTCCATTAACGACGACACCCGAAAGTGAGCAGCAGGTTAGGAAAGGATACAGGTCAACCACGTCCCACGTGTCGTCACATGTTGTGACAAGCACGCGTGTTGTAGATGAGTACAAGACTAACAAAATTCAGAGGCTTCCCCCAAAATCTGCAGATCTGAACACTTATTTTGAGCGTGTATAATTTTGGTATCTTGTTGAGTTGAGTCTTCATGGAAAACAGAAGATACAAAAAAAATGCCAAAATACTTCGGTATTTAAATAACATGATCATTTCTTCCTTCCCGACGAAGGTGGGGGAGGTAATAGCGGTACCCCTCCCCCTGAGTTACCAGTACTTTGGGTGGAAGAACCTAGCAAACTGGCCCCGGATGTTGATAATTTACTAGCTTTTCCCGGAATAGATATGGAAAACGTTTGGCCTTCCTTCAAAGAGTAGTCCTTCTTTGGACCTACAGGAACATGAGAAGGAGTTTCATCATCGGGGCTAGGAGGGTTCAAAGCAACTTTAAAACGCCTAGAAATGGGCGTGCTGTAAGTGAGGAGAAATTTCAGCGTTTGTTGGACGCACTTAGTGTAATCTTGCAATGCAACGTCTAAGGGAATATGTTAAGATAGCAAGCAGACCGCAAAAAGAGCGCTCACTGAAATCAAAGCTATCTGTTCGTTCAGCGAATCCCATCCCAATATAAGCCTTCTTGCCAGTATCCTCTACCCTGATTACAAAATATCGGGATGAATCAAGGACAGATTCCACGCATGGTTTAAGAGCGTCATAAGGTGCGCGGGCAAATACTAACTCTGCATCAGGAGGCTACAGTATTGATTAATCATATTGAAACGTACATTCCCCTGTAGTTGCGTCAACCATCTACTTATACACGGTGAGAAGCTGACAATGCTTACCCGTCTGAGCATCTTCAAACATCAGCGCCGCACCACTCGACTTCTCGACGATGCGCAGTCTGCCTTTCCATAGCGGTTGTGCAAGGTCTCCCCAGTCGTTAGCACGATGTCCCTCGTTGACCTTCAGATGGGGGATCTTGTAGACTACGTGTGCTGATGAAAGACTTGCTTGTGAGGTTCGCGCAACTTGGACCTACCTGATATTTCTCTTGCGATATATAAGATCGATTCGACCTCCTCGTCGAGCACATCCATGTTTGTAACACTACAGAAGGAACAGCTTTCTTTTAGGTCTGCCTAATGGCGGTACGGGAGACTATGTACGTTTCACAGCCACCAAGTACTACAGATTGCTTAGTAAGCAAGTCCAAGTTGTTCGGAATATGTATTAGCATTAAGATATCAACAATCTTGAAGCTAAAGCTAAGTTCTCAATATATGGCTCAAGCACCACCCACACCTCCTCCCATGAGCGCAACAGAGCTTCGTGACGAAGCTCGAGATTCCATCATTGCTTCCTCAACGGGATCCTCTGATCCCACCACATCACCTAATAGCTCAGGCAGCCTGGAACCTTCCCCACAACTCTCCGCTGTCCAAGATATATACCAGCAAGTTTTTCCCCAGTTATCTGATCTGGCCGAGCAAAGGAACTTTATTGGCATCACTAATATCGCTGAACATCATGACTTGAATGTGAGCACCTCTTGAGATACCCCTCATATACATATCGGCATCTCGATAATGCCCTGTATCAGGGTTCAAATGACAAAAGTCACTCCAGACTGCTTTTGATTGCCCCCTTGGTCCTGGCTTACATGGTGCTGGATGACTTGTATGTAAGACCCCTCCCCTGACTGTACTCCTTTGTGACACTTGTTCTAGAACACCTGCTCAACATGCCCTTGCACGGTTACCTGAAAATGTGTCCTCGCATCCCCTGTCACATGCACTCGCAGCACTCTTAGCATCCGCTTTGGAACGAAAGTATGAAAACACTTACGCCCGGGCTCAAGAGCTGTTCAAGATGTCGCAGCAAAGTGACTTCCCAGATCCAAGGCTAGGAAAAACTGTTGGTCTGCTGGTTAACGACTTCCTTGGTATGTGCACATTTAACCAGAGTTTTATTGTATCGAATTTTTCCTTAGATGCGTTCCGCAAGAACACCTTCACGCTTGTTTCGCGAGCATTCGCGTGCCTCCATGTTACGGAAGCTCAGAAATTACTTGGACTGGGACAAAAGGAGGTGCTTGCCAGTAAGCTCAATGGGCAACTGCATACTATTCTTGCTGAACTGCTGTCCTTTTCTGAAGTTGCGAACAGCAACCACTGGCAGTTCGACGCCACCAGTGGTATATTGCGACCCTCTAATGCTTCTCTTCCTGCTCTCGTTGCTACGAAACCTGGTATGTGACAAAGCCGTTTATACAGATTCATGCTTAGGGATGTCTTTAGTACTACCGTCCTCGGTGATGACGTTCGATCTCGTTGTGAACAGTGTTACAACCTCAGAAGTATGTTGATGTCAATATATGTTTTTGTCAACCTCCACAATGTAATCATACGACGCGGTATGCTCTCGTACATCCTGAGTGATACCGTCCCAGTGTAGTCGAATGCGGGACTGAACGAGGCTTCTAGGACTACCATATTCCTCCAATATCTGCTAGGTATGTAGAATCAGGAAAAGTCTTAACATTAAGTGGACCTGACTAACTAAGTTGGACTGAGTGAGCTCTCCCGGGGGGTCTGTTCATTGCAGTGCGTAGTAATATGCAGTCCTTAAGGTCTCACATACCGAAAGGGGAGTGGAAGATGTCGAAGCACAGGATAAGATGAGTGTCGAGGCGTGAAGCGCTTGAGATAGAGTCGTGAAGACGTAATATCTTGTCGTTGCCATTGCAGTAACCAGGCTAAGTGATTACTCGGAGGAACGTCCAAGAAACGACGCTTGTGGAGAAAAGGCACTAAGGATAAACTCGTGTCACAATCCTTCAGGCCGACAAAGGTTGATTTCACCTTGCCTTTGATGTCACGCTTCATCCGAAGCATGTTTTTGAAGTTTGAACATTCCGTAAAGTCGGTAGGGGCGGGCACTTCACTGGGTATCGCAGGGCTAGAGCCTACCCTGCCTGGTTGATCCACGTCCAACATCACGGGATCCACATAGCTATCAATTTTGAGACCAGTTTTCTTGCGGACTTTATGCCAATCGCGCTCTTTTGCACGCAATTCTTTATGGGCCTGCTGGAAGAGCTGCGAAAATACTTCATTCCACACCGTCAAACTGAATAGGTAACTGGACATGCCTTGAGCCTTTCTGCAATAAAAGATCTTACCCTATGCAGTTCTCCGTGGGCAAGAGAAGCACGGGAATGAGTTGTCTTCGACAGATTTTTCCTGACCACGGGAACACCAAATATGAAGCCAGACCCGATCCATCTCGGGATAACGTGCAGAGGCCTTGAATTGGGAGGCCACGGAGGTGTGTCGCCCATAGCCATGGAAAAAAACCGAGTTACTGGAGACAGGCCGGTGCCGTATACAACACCACCGAAAGACGCGATGTAGCACACAATGAATGTGTCTGCGCTGAGACGTTGGAGGACAAGGCAATATTTGCTGATATCGGGAGCGCTGTCGTTAAGAACGCGCATGTATCGCCGTTCTATTGGCGTCAGTGGAAAGTTGTCACGACCCAAGAATTCGTAGAAGGCAGCCGTGATTCCACCGCCACCGTCGACGTGAGCGATTTCGCCTGGTTCAAAGGAGCACTGGGCCTTCTTCTTTTCCTCTCGGCTGAGGCCGCTCAAGTCAGATGCGCTCTTAGTTCGCATCGCGACATCGAACTCATATGCCCAACGAAGTCGATCCCATCGTAGATCAACTCCAAGCATGTACTGAGAGTAAAGCTGAGCCTGGCAATTCGAAAGGAAAAGTACACGTGAATGACACGACACGCATAGCACGGGAATGACGTACCAAGCCACCGCAAATGATTCCCTGAACTGCAGTGCAGGAGGGTAGTTCACTAAAATGAGACCTCAGGCTGGTGAAGAATTTGTTATTACGGAGCGTATATATGATACTACGAAAAGTTGTACATATATAGCACGGTTTTGTTACAAAATAGCTATGTTACAAAGATCATGTACACTAACACAACAATTGTCCCTACTATGTAGGCCTAACCCATCAAAGTACCTTGGTATGAATGAGCACCGTAAGACGGAGTGCGTCTTCATTACGATTGCGTGAGTCGCCTCAGCTCATGCTTCCAGGCCTTTGAAAATGCTGTGCAGTGAGCAAATTTACAGTCGAGCAACAAACACGAGACACATGCCTTATGGCGCAACGTCCGGAAATCTTCTATAGCGACGATATGTACCATGTACCGGGATAATTTATGAAGCTCCCGGTCAGCTTGAGCCTGCTCTGAATGAGCGTTCTTGAAGGCATGGATTTTTAGTCCTTCGTTTGGATTCAAGGCAAAATTCCGACTCTACGACAGCATTAAATATGATAAAGACGGGCTACACCTTCCTCTTACCAGGTCATCCACGTGAATAGTGTTCTTCGCTGAACTAAAGAGGGAAGTTAAAGCATGCTCGATTGTCCAAATCAGAATGTGCTGACAATTGGGGAAAGTGATTCCAAATAATTTGCAGTGCCTTAACATGGTGTGCATATGGTTGACCGTTTCGTTCTGTAAAGACAGTAAACATGCAAGTTTTGTCGAGGACTGCGCATCTTCAATCAGCTATGCGGGTGTTAAAGTTGGATAGTCGCGGTCGTACCAAATGAAATCTGGAGTTGATGTCAGCCGTAACTTGCCACTATGAAAGCACAAATAAAACCTGATAATTCCTGGTAGATCCAACCATGCCAAGTTCCACGAGCTTCGCCTCAAGCCATATCCAGCTAGTTTGAGACCTAGTTGGGTGTAAGAGGTGGCGTTCATGAGGTGAATGAATCTTACCAGATGCAGATGTCGTAGTGAGGGTATATGGCCTCTAGAAATTCATGGAGGCCAGGCCTCGCACATTCCGCAGGAGGCAATGAGCCAGACGTTAGTGGTTTAGTGTCCAAAATAGCTGCATGAGATTTACTCTCGGGAAGTAAAACGCTCGAGAAATATTGGCTTACTGTAATCAATGTCCAGCACAAGTAAACGCTTTCCATCTCGCAAAGGATGAATGATATTAATCTGAAGTTTCTCGGTTGCCTCTTTGACTTTGCGAATGTTTCGCTGGTCATTTTTATATGTCGCAGCGGCAGCAGGGTTGTCAGTGAAGTCTACATCAAGATCATTGACAACGTCAGGAAGGAATTCCAACTCTGACTGTATGTTAGTACAGGCATCAAAGATTTGAAAGATCGCGGGCTCACTTGAAGGGTCTTTGATCTCGTCACCTTCAGGGGTCCCTATAAGTGTAAATGATTTCCCTGCAATTAGTAGATCTGCGCTACGATCATGTGGTTCAGAGAAAAAATCGTGCAAGAAATTGCAAACACTAACATTCTCTCTTGATCTGGGGGTAGTTTTCCTTTTACTAGACCTAAAATTTTCTGCCTCTCTGGTGGAACCTTCGTCAAACTCATCAGCGAAGTCTTGAGGTCATACACTCTAGACAACCGGAGTTAATACTGAGGATCTATGGTTCGCAGCAATTCGGTTCCGCAGCTTACCTATCTGATCCAAGGAGATCTACCTTGTACTCGCGCCCGGACCATTTGAAGGTGAGTGGAATCTTCATTTCAGGAATTATTTCATCCTTCAAGTTGTGCATTCGAGTAAGTGCCACCAATCATATTAGCTTAGACCAAGCGTACCTCTAGCACGGTGGCCATACTATTTGCACTGCCTAAGTTGATATAAACGCGATTTTGAGTTGAATGTCGCGTGGCCTGCGGAAGCGCGTACGTACTCTCAGGTGGTAGCCAGCCAAAGGACGAAGTCTTAGGTTGTGGCGAAGTCTAAAAGTACGGAAGTATTTGTCCCCAGTCAACCGGATCTAATGAACAACTACACCGGGTACCGGAGCCAAATTAGACCAGATGTACACGACTCGTCATGCATATGTTCAGGACTTGCACTTTACTTCTGTCCAAGCACAGACCACCCAGTCATCAACTACTAGAGTGAGTTTATCACCGCAGCTTGTTGTGATTCGCATTAATTATCAACGTGTGGATACATAGCAGAACATATTATACCGGCAGCAAAATATCGCTTTCGCAGAGGAGTTTCTCAGTCACGACTCCGAGTCTCTTCTCTAATTCCTCAACTAAGATGACGAACAGCGCTAGTGAAACTCCAAAGCTTACAGAGCCCCGTCTTTCAGCAAGTCTCGTTCTGGTCAACAGTCACAACGAAGTACTTCTTGTTCAGCGCAACCCACAGGCTAATTCATTCGCTGGCCAACACGTAAGCAGAATCACTCTTCTGTAGTCCCTGTTCAAAGGCATCTGGAATTGGAGGTTTTTCCTGGCGGAAATTTTGACGCCAAGCAGGATACGTCCTTAGAATGGACTGCTATCAGAGAAACCTTCGAAGAAGCGGGGTTACTGCTGGCTTTGTCGAATACTCCGAGCACGTTACTCAATATCGACTTCACTCAGGCTAGAAAAGATGTCCATGGAGAGCAAACGACGTTCTCGACGTTTCTTATAAACAACAACCTAAGAGCCGACTTAGGCGCTCTGCTGCCGTTTACTACATGGGTGACACCACCGGCAGCAGCCAGGTAAACAGGATCCTTGTCCCTTGTCCTTCAAGTGTATCTAACATCTAAGCAGGCGATTCCGCACGGAGTTCTTTATCGCATTCCTTGAGGATCCCACATCGGGTGGGCTGCATTCAGGTAGACAAGATCACCTTCCGACTCCTGATGGTGGACAAGAAGTCATTCAAGCGCGATTTTTACGTCCAGAATCGGCCATAGAGGAGTACAGGAATGGGAAAATCGGCCTTCTCCCACCCCAGTACTACATTCTGGAAACGCTTCGCCTCATCCTTACTGGATCGTCCAATACCGAGAGGCAGAGAAATACAGTTCAGATGTTGTCTAGAGCTGCATTCGGACGGATGGTGATCAACCCAAAGTTTCTCCGTGTCAATAACGGAGTAAATCAAGCTTTCGTCTACGAGGGTGATGAATTGAGAGGTGGTCCAAAGGGTCGGCTACACCGCATGGTAGTGGGACGGGTAGGCACGGTACGGCATCACACTCTCGTATTTTGGGGCTTGCGTTGGTCTAATTGCTCATAATAGCCATTCTCTCAGATGAATTTGCAGCGCAACTTTGACTTGTTCACTCAATGCCCGGTCGAAGTTGATATACCCAAACTTTAAGGACTTCATGTTGGCATACCCTCACGACTGTCATCAGTCAGTTCAATCATTCACATTTTCTGATACCGAGAACAACGCGATTGGTGTATTTAAAGAAAGTAATCTGGGCTACAGTGGCGTTTAATGGGGAGAACAACAGAGTAAGGGCTACAATGTATGACATGTAAAGCAATCTAGATAAAGAGAAGAATAAACACAACAGAACCCGAAATTCATTATGCACCTGGAGATCTATAAGCGTGGAGATGAAAATAATAACACGAATCTAGTATGTGGGAGACGACATCAAATTTCATACGGGGGTTCTAAATATTGAATGCTTGATAATCGTACGCGACACTTTGACCCCAAAAAGATGGGGTGCAAGCGCCAATAGGCGCATCGCCAGTGCTGCCGAGCATAATGGCATTGACGTCAGATGCGTCAGCGGCCTGCCAATCGGCATATGATGAATCATCAGGGTTTGGGTTCCCGCTATACAAGAATGACTTATAACGGGCTTGCATTTCAGCAATCAGCGCTGACTGGGCCGAGTCGGGATTAAGAGCAGTGCCAAACTAGTACAAAACATGAGTTGTGAAAAATGGAACATAGCAAGTGTTTACTTACAACTATCTCAATATCATCTTGATGACAAATAACGCCCGGTTCGGTGCAGAAAGAGACAGCGGAGTTGCTGGGGTAGCTAGCACCAACGGAGTACAATCCCACATATGCAGTGCCACCATTAGAAACCCAATTTCGCGCAAAAGTCCATGTCGCACATCGCCAGATCGAATCTGTGGCGAGCACTTGGAGCTGAGGACGGTAGTCATCATTCTGAGTAGTCCCAAAGGCATAGCTTTGCGAGCCCATGAGAGCCTCATAGCGTGTCTCGCCGAACGAGGCGTTGACAATAGCAACGTACTCAGCTTCGGGCATGGGACTAGGAAATGAACCGTAAATTGTATAGCCTCCTTCGTCAAGAACATTAGAAAGCAAGATGGGCTTGGAAACCCGGGGGAATGGTGAAGTTGAGTCCAAGGTCGAAGTGATAAAGGTGCCGTCATTCACAACGCGCATTGGCTCCGATTGAGTCGCGGCTGGGACGATGTAAACAGAGCTGTTGTATTGCCAAAGACCAGCACCATTGACGATATCATTCGCGGTTAAAGCATTTAGACATGCCAAGTCGGTTGCAGTACAATCAAGATTTGACACGAAATACTGCTGGAGTTGGACCTGATCAGATGATGACAGGAAGCCATAGTCCTGACACAATAATGAGTCTCACGTTCCTACCAGTGACGTGCATACCACTTACCATAGGGTCAGACTGCAAAATTGCAGATTGAAATAGTGACTGTGCAGAAGGCACAGCAAGAAGGGCACGAATCAAATTTGCACCACTGCTTTGACCGGCTAAAGTGATCTTGCTCGGGTCACCGCCGAAGCTAGAAAGCACAGTCGCCAAAAATTTGAGAGCATTTACAGCATCTCCCAGACCAAGGTTGGTCTGATTGTTGGGAGCAACGAAGCCAAGCTCAAAGGAATCGTGTGAGTTGACAGTGACATGGATTGCTTACAGTGAAAGCACTTACAGCTCCCAGGCGGTACTGAATGACCGCAACGATCGAGTCAGTGGCAAGTGCCAGTGCAGATCCGTCTAGACCGGGATCTGTGGCGGAACCGACCATAAAAGAACCTCCATGAACCCTGCCAGAATATATGACGGTCACCATCGCCGAAAAAATGATCGTTATACGTACCACATCAAAGTGGGTACACAGCTGTCTGCGTGTAAGGAGGTAGGAACATAGAGAATCATCGACATGCAATCCTCGGTGAATGTGGAGGTATTCGCATATGGCTGCGGGCACGTAAGCGGCAGCGCTGAGACATTCGTAGAACCATTGCTATCGATGTAGTGTATATCATGTGATCGGCAGCAAATGAGACGTGATGTAATTGACGTACGGGAGTGCCCATGTAGTCACCATAGCGGATGGGGACCAGCGTTCTGCGGAAGCATACTTCGCAGCAAACCTGTTAACACCCGAGACATCGACTGTACCCTGTGCGGCGCCCAGGGGGGTATTGACGGATATTGCAGTTGACCCGGCTCGTAGGCAAAGTTTTTGAGCCAATTTTGCGTGGACGAGATAGCAAAACCAACTTTTGGAGTCTAGCGACGGAAATGGTAGTCCCGAACTAGAGAACTCTCGCGAAACAGGGAATGCATGTGATAGTGACGTGAGCAGCGGTGACAAAAGGATGCAGGTGATTGTAAACAAAACCATGATTTTAGTCTAGGAACAAAATGAATGAATTCATGATCCAGAGAACGGAGGAAATTGACCCAAACGTAGAGATTCCCGACACTGTTGCTGGAGAGGGAAGTCAACTTCAACGAACCGCTTTAAATACAGAATCCAGCTTGTCGATGGCCGTTCCTGTGAGACGACAGGCCGCGGTGGGTGAGAATGACTGTGACAAGCTAAGTATCCCAAGTACTAGCAAGGTGGTAAGGAACGACTGGTTGGCGACAAGAAAATATATAGACGCCTGTGGCCCATCCATGATGTAAGTTACTTCGGAAGACGAGATTCACATCCGTATGGAACAATGCCCCGAACAGAATAGGCAACATGACTTCAGGCAACTTGGCGCTCGTTCGACATTGGTATTATTTTGCCATGGGGTCCTTGTTCCCAAAAACGTAAATGGTATATGTAAACCGAGTTGCTTGGACCTTCTTCGGTTCTAGGTGACTAGTATGAAGTCCCGCATTTAAACCTTGAAACTCACGAAGCACAAATCTACATAAGCCACATCACTTAATCCCTTTCATCTCGCGAAATAGTCCGTAAAAGTGAATGTAGTGAAGAACCTAAGTGGCAAAGCCTGTATCGCAGAGTGCCTCGCAACCGCAAGCTCATCGAGCCCTAGAATCCTTTGACAGATGGGCCTTTGTGGTACAAGGTTGTCCTAGAAAAATCAGACATATTCTTAGAATCCAACGAACTATTTTGAGTGGCGGCGGCGAGGCAAATATAAGAGTTAACGTTGATCACGGACCTTGCGCTATGCCAAACCACGCGCAGCTGCCGCGCAACCGAGCGTCAGAGGACCTATCAGCAGCGACTTTGTTCCTAAATTTTGTTTACGCTGTGTAGATGATAGAAGAAACCATCAATCTCCGAAACAGGCACAGTAGTTCATTTTGGAGGAGGATCATCGCTGCCTCAACTGACTCGGAGCCAGAGCCCAGGAGGGGCAGGGAAAAATACAAGGAGTGCACCGGTTTAGCGCGTGCGCGCAGCAATGATGAATTTAGAATACAAATGAGCAAGTGAGGTGGCGAATTGGAATTAGCACTGTTGTTTTTGTTTCAGCATAAACTGGGCAAAGCTCTGTCGTGGTGAAAGACTGGCACGACATACTAGGGCGTTCTGATGGAAGTTGGGTCCACGTGGTATAATTCCCTTTTTGTTTCCAGTGCAAGGGCGATCACGTGCTACGGAGAGTTTCATGGCGTCCTCCACTCTACCAACAGCGTCAAGTGCTTTACCCGTGAAAATGTAGGCTTTTAGCCACCATGAACGACCTATAAAATCAATAACAGAGCTCGCTTCTACAGACTCACGGTAGGCTCTGCAATAGGGTCCATACGCGACCTTTTTCTGAAAATTAAAGCCATCGACGCGAAGCATGGTAAATTTGACTGTGTGCTCTGCATCGGCGACTTCTTTGGTCCCTTGAAGGAGCCAGGGACTTTGGAGGATGGAACAGATGAAACCGAGCAACTTCTGAATGGTGATATTGAAGGCAGGTATACGTTTCATAAGTGCTATACTTTGACTCAACCCGTTCTCAGTCCCTCTGAAATGTTACATCATGCAAGGAGAGAACCCCTTGCCTGATTCTGTGATAGAAAAATACGCCAAGACTAGCGGAGAGCTATGCAAGGATGTATTTTTACTGAGTAAGTTTTGTCTTACGTCACACTTTTTTTGTGGTATGAATTTGAGTTTGACCGAGTTGCCAGATAAATCAGGGATTATAACGACCGCTCATGGTCTTCGAATAGCTTGTCTAGGTGGCATCTACAACCCAGGCATCTACACCACTGCTGAAGCCCCTCCTGTGCGTGCTTGTTCCAATTTTTCTCAAGGTAAGCGCTAATTATCATATTCTAGGGGTTCGCATCTCCTTTCTTCTCCACCCACACCGTCGAACGCCTCCTCTCCAACACTCTCGTCAAATCATCCTCAAAATCTCAATCCAAGAACCAAACGTATACCTCCCTTACTTCCATCCTCAACGCCTCTTCTTCCTCGCAGCTTGTCGACATCCTCATCACAAATGACTGGCCTGCATGCATCACACAGCACTCCTCGGCGCCTTTACCTTCTCCAGAGCTCTCATCTGAGGGCGCCACACCACTGGATGAGGTAATTAGGAAGGTCAAACCCAGATATCATTTTGCTGCCTTGGGTGGCCGGCCGCCACAGTTTTGGGAGCGGGAACCTTTCGTGTGGGATGATGAGGCAGGAAGGGTTTCCAGGTTCGTAAGTCTTGGTGCATTTGGTGCTGAAGTTACGGGTGGTAAGAAGCCAAGGGTACGTTGGAACTTCCGTCATGATATCAAATCATTGAAATAAATTTAACCATGTTCTCAAACAGTGGTTTTACGCATTTTCCATCACTCCACCTTTCCCGTCAAACCCCGTTACAGCCCGCCCTACAAACGCCACCAAAAACCCTTTTACTGAATTAGCTCCCCGACCCCAAAAACGGACGCTCGAAACATTCGAAACAACAGAGAATTTCATATGGGGAAATGTCCCCCAGCACGGCAAGCGTCCACGAACAAGTGAGTACTCAACTTTATTCAGCACACTTTATCTAATCAAAGTAGATGCACCACAAGGTGAGGAAGGCAAGCCGCCACCAGGGTACAAATGTCGGAGGTGTGAATCTACTGAGGTTCCTCTCTCCTACCTCACCACAATTTGCGCTAACCTCCTGTAAGCACTTCATCACCTCTTGCCCCGAACGCCAGAAACCTCCCGAAGGATATGTGTGCCGTATCTGTAATACGCCCGGGCATCTTGTACGTGACTGCCCTACGCGCCATGCTGTGGGCGATACAGGTGGGCGAAAACCACGCCCCGGGTATGTGTGCCGCGCGTGTGCCAGCGAGGAGCATTACATTGAAGACTGCCCGGTTGCTAATGCAGGGCAGCGTGGTGGGGAGCGGAGAGGGAAGAGAGATCAGATCAAGGAGATCGGACGTGAGCATAATTGTTTGAATGTGATTCGTGATACTTATGGCCTACAGCCGACGAATGCTGGTTCTGCCTATCTAATCCTAACCTCGCGTACGCACTCTTTTGCTACCTCTCTGTTGCCCGTTAATCCATGCTCGCACAGAAAACATCTCATAGTCTCCATCGGAAATGAATGCTACGTGACGCTTCCAAAGGGTCAAATTATTCCTACGCAATCCAACGCCGACGGAAATAATAGCAGCATTAGTACTGTCCCGGGTGGAGGCCACGTCCTCATCGTACCTATTGCGCACCACCCAACGTATAACACCATCCCTGCTGACATCGCACCTCCAATTCTAGAGGAGACTGATAAGTATGTGATCAGTGTCTTCTTTCCTTATCAAACGATTCTGGAATCTGACAACTACTCCATCATAGATATAAGTCTTCTCTCCGTGCTCTCTACGCCGCCCACAACGCAAGCGCCGTATTCTTCGAAGTCGGACGTCTGAGCACAAAAGGAGGGCATGCACATGTACAAGCCGTCCCTGTGCCTATCTCGCTCGCGGGGAAGGTGGAACAGGCGTTCAAGTCTCAGGGAATCAATTTCGATGGCACATTGGAAGATTGTCAAAGTTCAGGACTACCAGGCGGGAGGGGTAGGAGCTATTTCAGAGTGGACTTGCCTGATGGGAGGTCATTGGTCCATCTGATCGAGGATCATGCGCCGTTTGGGGTGCAGTTTGGCAGGTGAGCGGGCTGTGGTGATTTCCTTGTCCTCTTTCTTGTCTTTGGTATATCGTTTTGCCGCGGGAATGGAGTTGGACTCACGCGTTGCTTGTTCTTGTTCCCATTTCTGTTGCCTATCTCCGTCGTCGTGGATCATGCTCTTGTATTTTGCAATCGCTGATGGAACTCTGGTATTATTTACAGGCAAGTTTTAACCGACATACTAGGTATCCCTGATAGGGTGGACTGGAAGGCATGTATGCTTCCCGAGGAGGAGGATAAAGCAGATGTAAAGGCATTCAAGGCTGCGTTCGCGTCTTTTGACCCGTCGATGTGATCACCGTTCATTGCGACTACGCTTGTAGAGTACTGGTTATGACACCTTGTGCTTCGTGCTACCCTGGTCATCAATCGAAGTCATACATCAAGATATTGTTTTGATTCCTGATCTGATCAGCAAGTCGGCTGAGCTATGACCTGCTCAGCGTGCACACTGCACAAGTTCTTTCGAAGGCCCTCTGTTGGTTGCGGATACTATCCTCAACGGTGCCGGCCTATGGCAGATCGACAGCTTTGTTCTCACCACCCAAATACGACTGAGGGATCTACGTGTTGCCCATGGTGGCACCTTCCCCCACGTCTCTAAGCCCATAGTACACATCGTTTTCTGACCTGCCTCCCTATACATCTGTACAAGTCCAAACATTGGTCGACGCTATATACAGAGCTAGCCTACTGAGGATGATACAAACAAACCGGCATCTTTCAAAATTAATATACTGTCCAAACCATTTGCCATTTCTATTCTCAGTCATCTATAACGATTCCAATACCAGCCGGCGTACGACCACCATGGGGAGGGGGGAACAGTCTATCACGATTTAGACGTTGATTTCAGAACTGCTCTCCAAGCTCTTCTTATAGCTGTGTCCCATCTTCTTGGTGCCCCCCAGTCTTGCAGCAGCAACCACCCGACCGATGGCGTCGAGACCTGTGTGCCAGGCTGACGTCAGCATTTGTGGATAATATAGAAGGATAAAAGTAACAAGAACGCAGACATCCTCTCAGACGTAAGCAGACGGGAGAACAGAGGAACCAAGTGCGATATTAAAAGTGACAGCAAACTCACCCTTGTCCAAATCCTTTATAGGTGGCCCGAACGACAACCGCACGTAGTGATGACACGGGCTGTTGAACAAGTTCCTACGGTGTGCCGGGTTGATATCGAAAAAGATACCCGGAATCACGATCGTTTGCTCTTTCAGGAGCTCTTCAAAGAAGGTCTGACACATTGAGAAGAATCAGCGTCTGTTCTTTCCCTTCCGTCCTTGCTTGGTCTCCCGTGGTTCAAAGACAGGGGAGGCGAGGATCATATATAACAATTACTCACCAAACCATTATTAAGCGGAGGAGGTAACTTCTCCAAGTTCAACCAGACGTAAAACGTCGCTTGGGGAGGAACTTCCACGTCCAAATGAAGTGCATGCAAGCGCTTCAGCACGTGGTCCCGCTTGGCTTTGAAGTGTCTTTGAAGGGCAACCTATTTCATGTCAGCTTGTTCCTTTGCTACATCTAATAATTGGCCCACCTTCTCTATCTTGACACGTGACGGCTCAAGGAGTGGGAGGGCTGCAAGTTGCATGCTGCACAAGGGTTCAATGAACGTTGGAGAGATGAGGGAACGGGATGGCACTCACGGATGATTCGCACCCCCATCAAGGAATGAACCCGATTGTGAAAGTGCGGTGATGAGGTTCTTGGGCCCAATGACCCAGCAGACACGCCAACCTGGTAGACGCCAGTTCTACCGATTGTATGAATTAAGCTTAAGGGAGAATGCACAGTGAAGGTGTGTCAAAAACGCACCTTGGTCAACCCGTCTATGATAACTACAGAATCACTATTTACATCCTCGACATATTCGGCAGAGGAGATACTCTTTCCGATATCTTTCTCATTGTCAGGGTAAATGTACCAGGAGTAGAACTGCGATATTTTAACCGTCAGCGTTGGGTGGGAGGTGGCTAAAGGGAAGGGACATACCTCATCAAGAATGATCGTTGTGTTCTCCCGGCTGAGCGAAACGAGCTCTTTGAGCTCTTTGCCACTTTGATCATCAAGTATCAGATATGAAAAGTAGAGAAAGATAAAGGAAACACGCACGCAATAACTTGCCCCGTTGGATTCCTCGGGTTCGAGGCAATGACGACAGCAAGGCCTTGAGTAAGGATATCTTTCTGTTAGCGCGATCAATCAGGGTGTGTTTATGCGAGTTTCATTAGAAACAAACCTTGGTTTGTTCGATATCAAGGCGGTATTTATGCTATGTAAGGGAATCCATTCAGTAAGTTGTGGTATACATCTTATGGAGTATGGGTACCTTGGGATCCAATCTGAATTAATCCAAAAATTCGGTCGGTTTAATATAAGTCAAGGAGGATGAAAACACGCACGCAGTGGGAACAGGTACGAGTCGCTTAAATGCACTTAGGACTTGGTCGTAGGCAGTATAGTCTGGAACCTGGTATGACTATATGCGCGAAATTTGGTGAGCAGACAAGGAAGCCAGAGAAGGGACCCGTACACAATAAACGTCGCCAATGACAGCTGCGACACGGGAAAGCCCCGCACGTCCACCGGGCACGATGCAGACATTTTCGTATGTGTACTGACTTGCTTTGCCCTTACGGTAAGTATCGTTGTAGAGGTGAGCTACTGATTCACGAAGTTCTGGTTGTACAATAGGTTTAGCGCTGATCGCGTTCACGGACCAAGAAAGATTGACCTTTGACACCCGTTGTGGGTGCATACTCCAAAGAATCCACAGGCAAGGGAATATTCTCTGGGCGGGGGGGAGCATTCGGGATAGGGCCTACTTCTGGGGCACCCTGACCCAAGTTTGCCCATTCGTGAGAATTAGCATAGTTGAAACCGTTCGCTATAGCGCGATCTGAACAGTAGATAACACCGGTGCTGCCAGGGTGCTCGATACCAGGAACGGTTTCTTCATCCTAAATGACGGGTCAAGTCACGTGATGTAAAGGAATGGATAAACCTAGTACAGGGTTGATAGTCTGAGGAAGGCCTAGGGCGGGTTTGGGCTGATGTCCAACTTGTTGACGGAATATCTGGGAAAGAATTAGGTGACAACGATATATGAGGTCTTGGGAGATATAAGTACTTGATGAGCTTCGGATTCTTTCTCATGATGGAAGATTTTCATGACACCATGGACCTGATTAGAGATAGTTTTGGAAGAAGGGAGACGGGGGAGGTGGAGGTGAACGTGCATGGATGAGACGGTTAGAGATAAGGGAAGGAAGAATGAAAGCAAGTGAACTTACGACGTCTCTTAAGGATGGAGTGCCACTACGTGAAGGGTAGGCACTGTTGGGTCTAGTCGGGGGTTTGGACATGCTTCTAGCGTAATAGAAACAGAGAATGGGCAGAGGGTAGGTTTATAAGGGAACCAATGGCAGAATAATTATGGATGGTTCAAGACGTCTGGCAGATTCTTAATATATGTAATATTATTCACTGCTTTTGGGGCTCTGCTGGCATGCCAATATCAGCGGAATCAAAGAAAGATTTGATATCCTGTGCCAACTCCAATTATAACTGATGCGTGCCTAGCCAAACATGGCCCCAACGCATCGTGGTCCTATCTATCGCTTACACTGTCGCAGAGAGTCCCTAGCATCAACTGCCGATTGATGGCCAGGACAAGTGCAGTGATTGTGGTACTCGAACACCAGCGACTCGGATATGAGAATTCCATGTTCAACGCGGTTAAACTTTGGATGGAGCGTCATGATCGCGTCGAAGCCCAGCTGCAGGAGTCTATAGCGCTCATCACCCAAGTTCACGAGGCAATCTGACGCAACAATGATAAGCTCCGACCCTAGACCAGAAACCACCGTTGACCATATAACAAGAGCATTAACATTAATATTGTGAAACCTGCAGTGAGGTATGACCCAGCGTAGCGACGTTTATACAATCACAGTACCAGTTGACCGGCCGACCCGGAAAATACCGCCATGCAGCGTCGGATCTTACTATCGCTGAGGCTAGCCTTGTGATCGATGCACCTATTCCTTCTTGAACTCAGATATCAGCCTAGAAAAAAGATTCCCTCCTCAGTCTCGCACACCCACCTTAACTGCGCTTTGACTTTCCACTCAGTGACTCACCGTTAGCCTTCAGTATGTCGTCAACGCCTTCTAATAAATTTTTACCCAGCCCAAAGACCGTTGCTGTACGTGTTTTCTATCACAATATACCCTGTAATACTGACTTCTCATCTTTTCAGATTGTAGGATGTCCGTTTAGGTGAGCATTCCAATATCGGCTGCTACTCGGGTGTCGGTAATCTTACGGCACCGCCGGCTATAGCGGTGGTCAGGTCTGTTCTCTCAATTCTCTTTTTTGAATCACCCACTCACTCTCTTTTCTCTCAGTCAAAACTTGGCGTAGACAAAGCTCCTATCCACCTCGTCCAGGCAGGGCTCATCAACGAGGTCGAAGAACTCGGATGGCGCGTCGTTTTTGATGGGCACCACCAATTTGAGGATATTTCTACCCCACCCGATGGCATCCAAGTTAATGGCACAAGTGACGCCGCTGTTAATACGGCATTAGACGCATCCATCGCGAGATTGAGAAGCCCTCTGCTCGTTGCACAGGTCTGCGAGAGTGTTGCATCTGCCGTGCAGGCTCATGCAGAGATGGGACACCTCCCCGTCACCCTCGGCGGAGACCATTCCCTAGCTATGGGCACTATCTCCGGAACCCTAAGGTGAGCCCGTTTACATGAGTTGCTGCCATTGTTGTGACATTCTACACACAGGGCATATGACCAAGCTTGTGTCATCTGGATAGATGCTCACGCAGATATCAATACCATCCACTCTACCGACAGCGGGAACATCCACGGCATGCCCCTCTCCTTTCTCCTTAAGCTCAACCCCCCTGCTCCATCTCCAGACTCAGTCCTTGCAAAGTTCGACTGGGTCTCTCACCTCCCTGCTGAGCGTCTCGTCTACATCGGATTACGGGACGTGGACAGGGGCGAAAAGGAGATCTTGAAGAAACATAGCATCAAGGCGTTTAGCATGCATGAGGTTGATCGGTAAGTTTGGGATCCGGTGGAGAATAGGGCGCTTACGCTGATTGTACTTCACCTAGCTATGGCATTGGCAAGGTGGTCGAAATGGCTCTCGACCATGTGAACCCACAAAGAGACCGTCCTATTCACCTGAGCTTTGATGTCGACGCGCTCGACCCAAGCGTTGCGCCTAGCACGGGGACACCGGTGAGTATCTCAGTATCCTGGCACGTACTTTTTGAGTCAGCCGTGCCTTCTAAGCGCTTTGGTGACTTAGTGCGTGCTGAGAATGAAAAGAAAAACGTTTGCTTATTGAAGATGCGAGAATGTGCACGAAAATGCTCCCTGCATCTTGGCCCTGAAGGGGCGCTTAGAAAATACGCCACCTATGAAATTGGCTTGTGCAGACGCGCATGCCCCGGGTGTTTTGACCCGTGCCAGGAATGTCCAAGCCCACGGCGGGTAGATATTGTATTCCTAAACAAATTAATTTCAAGTCAAATTAAATGTCTTAATGAGCAGAACTAACCGAAATCCTGCAGGTGCGCGGTGGGCTCACCTTCCGTGAAGGACACTACATCTGCGAGGCGATTCACCAGACTGGGTTGCTCGTCGCGTTCGACTTGATGGTACGTGTCCTGACCTACATCTTTGCTCCCATCGACTTGATCTGATTTGATCTATCGCACGCAGGAGGTCAACCCCACGCTTGCAGATGCTGAGAGTGTACGCCAGACCGTGACGGTGGGGTGCTCATTGGTCCGTTCTGCTTTGGGTAAGTCATCCATCTGTCGCCACGTTTGTTGTTTGCGCGGTTGTCCAATATTCTTGAATGGGGATGCACGACCACGCGTCGAGCATCCACAGGGACTACCTACAATGTGGATCATCAATGACGCTCATTATCTATTCGTCACACAGGCGAAACCCTTCTGTGAATTGCAAGTGTCGTAAACCAATCTCGATGTGACGATGTGATATGATCTAGTGGCAGTGAGTCACATCCACTTCTTAAATGCACAAGTTCGGTAACAGTGAAGTAAGGTGTTGGATGTAGATTCGATTCGATCTCCGCGCAGACTGTTGTGGACCGGCAATCAGAGACACACGTGCTCGTTCACGTGCCACATCGTTGGACGTGATATCGCTCTTATTTGTATCGTTAACCATGCGACTCCTGTCTGATCTGTTCGTGTTGATAGATTTTTCAATCAAATTATCGAGCATGCAATGTCCCATGTCAATAGCTGTCGGCAGCATCTGAGGAAAACGACGAGTCCTTGTGCACGAAGAAATTCCATGAACAGGCGCAGCTAAAGACGAAATCGAATCTGAAATTCTGGCGTAGCGCGTCGCGTTCAATGTTCTTGAGAAGAAAAATGAGTTGCTGCATATATCTCCTAAACTATTTGGAACTTCGGAGGACGACAATCCAATCAATTGAGTTTTCCACAGTCGTGCAGCGAAATATCCGGGTACACTGCGCGTTGTGTTATTTTCCGTTGGAAAAATATACGGTCTGTGGAAGGACTCCCTTTGTATACCTCGCTTTGCTGGGGCGACACGTTGTGACCCACAAAATAAAAGGGGAAGGTACGCCTCAGTTGCTTTAAATGTTTAAAGCGGAAACTCAACAGTCTAAAAACTGAGTACTTGTGTTTCTTCTCTCTTCCTCACTACTCTCTTCCAGATACCGCACTTCGCTATCTAACTTGTATACTCACTCTCATCCAATTTGCTTCTCTGCTATTACGCGCTAGGACCTACTGCCACCGAAACACTTTCCCTCCGTCAACATGAACGGCAACAACTCTTCATCTTCCACGGGACATGCACCTTCCGGCCTGAATGGCACTTTCAACGCGTCGACTCAACAGCAGCAGGTCCAGCTTCAAGGAGGCCAACCGCCTTTCCCATTGCAGCAGCCTCAACTCGTATTCAATCCACCTCAGCCCCAGCCCCAGCCCCAGCCCTCCTATCCACCGACGTACCCTTCGAATGCGCCTGCCCTGCAAAACCAGAATGTCCCTGGGCCGTCTCTTTATGCACTGAACGAAATCGCCAAAGAGACTGCGGGGCTCGCCGGGAAAGGACTTCCAAGTCTGCCTCCGACGTGGAACGCCGGATATGCTCCTCCGCCTCCCATCCCCTACAACCCTCAAGGTCCCATGTATCAGTGGCCAGGGTACGGCTACCACGCACCCGCACCAAATTATTATGGTGGCCACCCCGGACCTCAAGCTCATGGTGCAGCGCCTGGTGCAGCACCTTATCCCGGTGCCCCAATGCAATCCCCCCCTGCTCCTCCTGCAGCGCATGTCCCGTTTCACCAGCAGGTGCAAGTGATGTCGCATGCTGCACCGATGCCGCAAGTACCATCTGTAGGCCCAGTGGAGGGAAGTTCTACGGGGAGTTTGAAGAGGAAGGCGGCTGATGAGGATGACATGACCGAAGACACGAAAGAAAAACGTTCTCGTCCTCAGGGCAATCCAGATTTTGTGAGTCAATTTTATTTATTTGGTCTTCGCCATCCGACTGACGGCTGTTTCATTAGGAACGCGTACCGCCGGGTACAGATGGGAAAGAGAGGTGGAGATGTCTTAAGAACGCATGCAAAAGCTGTCATCCGATGCTGGAGGCCAGCGTTCATAAACATATAACGGAGACGGTCTCACATGGCGGATCAAATAAGTATATATGCGAAGCGTGTGGTGCCGGGTGAGTAGTACTCCTCTTATTTCAAATGTGACCATGGGCTGAGCTGTTGATTCTTATAGTTTCAACCGCCGGGATGCATTAAAAAGGCATAAACCCTCTCAACAGTGCATCAGAAATAGGGAGAAGGCTCTGGCTCAAGCAAACTCCCAAGCGCTTGGTCCCATCACGTTCGCATCTTCCTCAGGCCCTGCATCGAGCTCGGCGACCCAACAATCCTTGCCCCCGTCTGTGGCCCCACCGCATGTTGTTCAGGTCGTTGGGAATAGCACATCTGGCGCTGCGTCCTCCGTCGCGATGTCTCAGCAACAATTCGCCTTCAAAGTCCAAGGACCTGCATCGGGCTCCGCGAACCAACAATCCCTGCCCTCGCATGTTGCCCCACCGCATGCTATTCAAGCCGCTGCGAATCGCACGTTTGGCGCTACGGCCCCCTTCGCGATGTCTCATCAGCAATTCACCTTGAAAGCACGAGGACCTGCATCGAGCTCGGTGAGTCAACAATTCAGTCCGCAGGCCACACGGACTGACGCAAGGTCAATGATCCAGCATGTCCCAACCTGGTCTGCGTTCTCGCAGAAATATCCATCTCTCCCCGAGAACATTCAAACCTCATTCAAACCGACCACTGTGCAGCAGCCGGCTGTCGCACCCCCGTTGCAGGCCTTCCAGGGTACCCCGAACCAGACTTCTTCTACTCCCCTCCCATCTGCACCTAAATCACAACCCGCGCAACCGTCATCTGGCCATACTATACCAATCGTCGCGAGTGATTTCTCATTGTCGATTTTCAAGCCGACTGCTGCTCCCCTCCAACCTCCTTTGCCGCCATTGTCTCTTCCCCCGTCTGAGGATGTAAACGATGAGGATGATGAGGATGATGATTCAGGTTTATTCTCAGAACCATCCTCTCCCACATCGTCCAAGGATGCATTCGACCCTTCCATGCACCTGTTCTCCGCACCACCGTCTCCCTCTCCTGACTGAGAAAGCGATGGATGCTACTGTCCCTTGACGTAAATGCAATCGCGCCTCTCTTTTGCCCCATTCGACGGGTCTGTTCTCAATATCCCTTTTTCTGATTATTTATTCGATGTCGAGCGATCGCTCTTGGACTGCCTTGTGTTCGGTTTCATTATCGTAGACTTCACATATCTTCACATGACATCGTGCATCATTTATTCCTCATTTATTTTGGAATAGACACAAGTACCTATACCAATTGGAAGTATACCCTATGTAACAATACTATAAGTAGTCTTGATGACATGCAGCTGTCCGAACATGAAAAAATTTAATAACTGCAATCGATCTCAACCGCGAAGATTTGAAAATTGGCAAGGGACATTCGAATCATCTCCTGCTACTAGTAGCATACTGAGTCAGGTTCATCAGCAAATATGTAAAGGCCTGACAGCACCTGAACATCCTGGCAGCAACCTGGATATCCTGAAGGTCTGGGAGCTATTTTCATCAGCAAATTCCCTACGAGATTGCATGAGATTACAATATTTACCTGCACGTGAGAACTTGTAGTCGTATTACAAATCAGTGCAATCAATTGTGGTGACTGCAACCAGATTGTGTGACACTTACAATATTGCAATTCCTGTCAGTGAATACAATCTCTATGTCAAATGGTGCCATATGCATGCACGTGATACAAGTCCCGAAGTCACATGGGAAACCACTTTTGTCTGGCCGTAGCAGGTACTCTTACCAGGGCATAGCGCCTGATGAGAGGCATCCTCACCGAGTATTCTACTAACCCAATCTGTACCACCTCCCTAGATTGGGTTGTGCCACAGAAGGACATCACTCCTACCTGACCTAATCACTGGGGTCTGTGCGCCAACTCCCTTTCTACATAAAAAGGCTTAGAGGTAGCATTGCTAAACAGAAACAGAAGTAAGGCGGTTGGGGCAGCGGTAAGCCCCCTGATGAGACCCTTTGCAAGGTCGAAACCGCTACTGACCCATAACCGTCTTACTTACCCTTCCCTCCCATCTCCTAACTGCACCCTATCTTAGGAGACAGTGGTCAGCAGGGTTGGTGCATAGGGGCGGACAGCCTGGGCACCTAGATGTAGACAACATTCTATGCTACCTCGCAGAGGCCTTGTGCCTCAGCCCCCACTGCAGGCCTAGAATTCAATCTTTATAAACCATCTGTGGCGCTGCACACTTAGGTTCTCGGATCAACCAGCGGAAATAACGGACTTGTAATTATTTTTGCATTGTGGTAGGGCCTAGTGATGTGCACAGTGGCCCGGCTTCAAGCCATGAGCCGGGCCAAGCCAGGCCTGAATAGGCCAAGCCAAGCTGGGCCAACTTCATGGCCTGACAGCAGCTTTGGCCCGGCCTGAGTTGCTTGAAAGCCCAAGCTGGCAGCCCAGGCTGTGGCTTTGTGACTCAGTCACCACTCCACGGATTTGATTTCTAGGTTTATTTTTGTCTCTGTTGTTATCTTTTCCGGCTTCGACAACAACAATAACACAAGTTATGTTCAAACAACAACTGGTGAGTCGCCTAACATTGCTATTTTCAGTGATTTACTTTCCTTTGCCAGGCTCTCATATGTTGTAGCCTTTGATGGGCCCAGACTTCTATACTCAACATTACCTGACCAATGAGATGTCATCTGCTATATTGTGAGTTTCTATTTACGTTTTCATGGCGGGTATCCTCAAGACTTGTAGATGGATCAGGAGCACTGGTATGTTTTTACTCATGCTCATGGGCCTCGTGTCAGGTTCACTGCATGACCAAGGGGATTTGTGAGTGTAGATCTATTGGAAGTTCTCGACAATACTCAGCAAGCTTTGCTAGTTACCATCTCATACTTGCTGGATCGTTTCTGGAGTGTTTATATCTATTCATGTTATCTTTGTCAAAACTGGATCAGTACTACCAGGTAATGTTCCCTGATTTTTAAATCTCAGTTTCTGACTCAGTCAGATATTTCTCTCTCAAGGATTAGGCTTGGGTATTGCGACAGGGCTCTTGTATGTTCCTAGCATGGCTGTCATCTCGCATCACTTCCAACAGAGGCGCACACTGGTTATGATGTTCATTGTTCAGGCTCATCATAAGTTCCAGCAATACACAAGTCATCTGTGGTGTCTGCTGACAGAATCTCTAGTTAGTGATATTACAATCTATTTGGTTCCAAAAGCTGTGGTTGGGCCCAAGCCAAGCCGTGGCTTTGGTTCATGGCTTGGCCTGGCATTTTCGAAAGCCCAAGCCGCCCCAGGCCAGGCCAAAGCTGAGGCTTTCAGGCCAAGCTAGGCCAGCACATCACTAGTAGGGACAGTGAGGCTCGTTCAACTACACTAATTTAGTTATTCCATGTGCAGCCAGTTGCACTTCCAACAAGTGCACCCTTTGGGCTTCCTCACAGTGCTTGATTTCTGCTTCCCAACGGTCCAACACAATCCTATGCATGTACATCTGAGAGACCACTTGTTAAGACCGTGCACAAAGGGTAGGACTGATTCCAAGGGGCTTGGCTTCAGCTCGTGCGCTGCACCCCTTACCCGAGTATGTGCCCTTAACTTCAGAATGAAGTCCGGAGGAAGTCCAGTGAAGTCTGAAGGACTTCTGGAGGAGCATGGGAAATTTCGGAAGGACTTTCCGGACGAGTGCGAGAAACTTCCGGATGAGTGCGGGAAAGTTTCGGAGGAACTTCCGGAAATTACGATGGAGTTTCATCCTGACAGGGATATGTGTAATGGCTACTCAGGACAAGTCCTGAGTAGAAGCAAACAGAGGAAAGGCTGCAAGGACAAAGTCCGAAGCAGAATAGGTCTGGAGGACCGCGGGAAAGTTCCGGAAACTTGGAGGAATGGTGGATTGGAGGAGTGGAGGAGCAGAGGAGCAGAGGAGTGGAGCTCCGGCCTAGGGAATGCCTCCCTAGGCCTGAGATGGATATTGACTAAGTCGGAGGACTAGAACTGTTACGAGGACTTAGGGTGAAGGCTAGTGCAAGGACTAATATGTGTAATATTCAGACTGAGGAAGTATAGAGACTTTACAGGGTTTATATACTACAAAGGACATAACGGAGAATCAGTCAGCGCAGTCTGAAGCTATGCGAGGCTGTGGACGGAGGGTATAGAAAAGTCAAACACTAGTCTATCAGAAAATAGTAAATGAAGATGGAGATGAGGACATAGGAAAATAAAGCCAGAAATGAAATGAGGTATGGAAAATGAGTAAGTCTAACTCGAGAAGGAACGTACAAAGAGATAAGGCACGGAAGATAGACGCAGGTCAGATCCGGATGTTGGGAAGTCTGGAGACAGGTGATTACCATAAGGAGATGGGCGCTGATTTAAGGTTTGAGTTCGGACATGACAGATAGGTCGGATCCGGAGATGTGGATGTCAAATTAGATGTCTGGACATCGGATCCGGGAATTGGGCAAATAGAGAAGCTGAAGGTCTGGAGACATGGATAGGGGATCCGGATGCCTGGATGAGGCGTGGGAACATCATCAGATGTAGGTCCGGAATACGGGATATGACACCACTAGGGGTGCTGGAGTTTGGTGGTAGGGAGGGACAGGTGTCTCTGGCACCTCAGCTACTGTGGCAATCATATATGGAGGGACAGGTGAAGTAGTCAGTGCCTCGCCAGGTTTGTTAATAAACTCTGATAGTGGTATCCTCCTGATCAGTTTGTGCCTGCATCTCTTTAGGGACCAGAAACAGGACCTCCACAACAATCAATTCATATACCTCTTGTCTTTAGGTGTCCCTGCCCCCATGTCAGCCTCTGGGGACTGTGAACAGAATGTTCTGCAAGTGCATCAGCCAGCAAGCAAGACATGAGGTACTTCGTTCATACCATTTGTGTAAGTTTTCTTTATCTGAAAGTAGTACCATTGACTCGGAGCTGAACTGTGATACAAAGTAGTGTCTTAAAACTTTGGATGGATAATATGAATCAAAGAAACACTGAAAATCTTCAATGGAGCTGTCTGTGAGTCACCTGATCTTGATATGATTGTGCTGATTTCGATATGTCAAAGGCAATTTTCATACCTATGCTCCCACCACTCTGTTTACTGGTCACAGTCTTGAAGTTTTTGTTCATGTCCTCCAGTCTTCTTTGTGTTTGTGGACAATGATCTGTCAATAACAGTTCATTCACCTGCTATGTTACCTGATGCAGGGTTGCAATATGACACTCTGACAGGGTATATCAGCATGCTCAATATTCCAAACACACCATCAAGAATATTAGCCTGTCACCAGGGCCTTCAAAGTGCAAAACTAGGCATTTACATCCTGAACATGCAGAGGCCAACATATCTACTCCATACAAGTCTCACTGTGCTGAAATGGGGGCATTATCAGCTTTGAAGCTTAGGGTGATGCACTGGTGCAGCATCCCATGAGTAGTTCCAACCTTCTATGCCTCATTACTGATGTTCTACTTGAACAGAGCTTGACTGACCCACCAATTGAGGCTGCCAGCCCCCTCCCAGACACACCCCCCTACTGGACGGCTGATGACTTTATATATAATGAACCATCTCTAATGGCAGAAACCTCTACTACACCCACTTCACCCCACATCAACAATCCTCCTCTAGGCAAACATGTTTGACGGCCCAGTGCTGAAATGCATGAGACATTGTCTGACATGCTGCCTAAAGGACCAGGCCCACTCGCTACTTCCAGTACACATAGCGATACTGAGCCTCCTCCCTCTCATGTTCTTCTATCATGCATCTGTCTCCTGGTGACTGAAACTTTCTGCACCCTCGTGAATTCCTTTGGCCTCATGCATGAATATTGTGGATGCCCTTCACATGTTCCTGATGCAGATGTTGATTTCGAGCAGCTGTGTGGGGATTCTGCTCAGATACCCAGTAATGAGGGACCCCATACAGTTGCCGAGATAATACATCCATATCCCAATATGAGCTTGTTCCTGCTTAACCGCTGGTTTTGGAACCGTGGAGCTAACAAATCAAAGGCGGACCACAAAGAGTTCATTGAGAATGTCCTGTCACATCTGGACTTCAGGACTGAAGACTTACATGGCGTTAATATGGACAAACTAGATGTATAAGTTGCAGATGACACTGACTCTCCATGGGAAGATAATGGGTGCATAAATTACAATCAAATGATCAATATCCCATTGAGTGAGAAGACCACAAAGTCAAGCAAGCACCAGCGTGCGAGGGATGTTCAAACCGCACACCACCATGGCAAGATTGATCCTGATGCCCCAGAGGTACCTACTGTCATATCCCATATATTCACGCTTCTCTTCCGGACTTCGGACCCTTAGATCCGGTCCGGTCCGATGCATAGATCCGCGTCCGGTCCGATATCCGATAAGCTTCTTAATTCATTTCCTGTTCATATAACGTTAAACACAGCCTATTCGGTATTTCCTCTTCCCGGTGTCTCGGTTATACTTATTACCGGTATGATTACTGATCCGTTATCCTATGCTTCATTTCCGACTCGCGTTTGATAAGCTTTGCATATGCTTCGTACATAGCCTCGGACCTTTGCTTATTGATCCTTCCGTTATCCTCTTAGTATATAAACCCGTGTATATTTCCTGTAGTACCTCAGTTCGAATATCATCTTAGTTTGTCCTCTTTCTGTCCTCCGGACTTGAGTCTAATCAACTCTTGTCGACCTCTGAGACTTCGGATCGATTCCGATAGTCTACGTCTCCGCCTCTATCTTCGGATAGTCTATACTCTGTTTGTTTCTAGTCCGGATCCATCCGGATTAGTCTTATACGCGTTTCCGATATCTGGAAGTCATCCGGATATAACTACGAGACCCGTCCGGACCTTCGGACGCGTTATCATTAGTCTCTGAAATAAGGGACAGTACTTGGGAAAGGGGCACAGCATACGAGCTGAGGCCGAAGTCCTTCGGATCCGATCCTACGAGAGTACGACCTTAACAGTATATTCGAACTCACACCTTTCCAAGTACACTTACTCATATCATGGCTCCTACAAAAGTAAACCAAGCCGCTCTGCACGCAGTCGGACTCTCATCCAGCCGACGCGATCCAACCTCCATAGTTAACGCCTTCACCAGTTTCTCGCAGCGACGTGTCTCAAGCGTTCCTGCTCAAAGTATTTCTCAACTCTTGAATCGTCCGCATCCGGTGACTCCTACGCCTACGCGTACTGCCGCTGGAGGACCTCCGGATGATGAAGGACCCGACGATAAAGACCCTCCGGATGATTTCGGAGGTAATCCGGATGATGATCCGGACGATGACGACGAAAATGACGGACTAAACCCACAAGACCGCATCATGCTCCGGCTTTCCGAAGCCATTGACAATCTCGCACGCAACAACCGTCGTCCCATCTCGTCCGAAGATTCCAAAGTCAAGATCCGCGAACCCGATACTTTCGATGGCACTGAGCCTCGGAAGCTTCGTGCATTCTTCGTCCAATGCGAGCTTCATTTCCAAAGCAAACCCAAGTCTTTCCGTACCGGACGGGCTAAAGTCAACTTCGCCCAATCCTACCTTAAGGGTATGGCACTCGAGTGGTTCGAACCGGACCTCCTATCCGATGAGGACGATGATCGTCCGGATTGGATGGATGATTACTCCGCGTTCATGTTAGAATTACAAACCAATTTCGGACCTCACGATCCGTCCGGTGACGCGGAACAACAACTCGAACAACTTCACATGCGTGACGGACAACGCATTAATAAATATGTTGTTGAGTTTCAGCGTCTTGCTTCACAAGTCCGTGGCTGGGGTGACGGTGCCCTAAGACGCCAATTCTATAACGGACTTCCGGCTCGTATCAAAGATGAAATCAGTCGCATGGGTAAGCCTTCTACCCTTTCCAAATACAAGACCCTTGCCCAGACTATCGACGCACGATACTGGGAACGGAAGGGAGAAGTTGCCCGCGAAACCAAACCCACCACCTCCAATCCACCTAAGCAACCCACTTCGGACCGGACGAATTCCAACCCGTCCGGATCCGCGAGATTCAAATCCGACAAACCCGCTACTTCCGCATCCTCCTCCGCCTCTAAAGCTCCGGACCTTACCTCCAAGTTAGG